CGCCCATCACCAGAGCAGAGGGGTTTTCACCGAGCGGAAATTCCCTCAGTGCCCCCTGGAGCTGATCCTGATGGAGACTGTTCTCGGAGCAAGATGTCCAGGTGGACCAGCATCCCGCGCCTCCGGTTAGCGTAACACAGAAGGTGACACCGCTCTCCGACCAAGCTCACCAGCATGCGTTTCAGACGGCCGCAGCGAACAACACGTTACGCTGTTGGCGTACACGTTCAGAGGCGGGAGGAGACGTACGCTCCCTCTGCAGGGCAGCTGACGTCATCCCCAACCAGTGTGCCTCTTTTGGTGTCTGCCGGTCCGCATCACAGCCGGAGGACGGAGTTTTCAGCGTTTCCCTGAGACCGCCAACAGATAGCGCTCTAGGACAACAAATGGCAGAGCAAATGACGGTTTTGGCGGAGGATGTGTGTGAAGGTGACACAAGTTTGGAGTAAAACATCATTTAATGATGAAAGTGTCTATTTTTAGCCAGTCTGTCAGCTCGGATGACCTGACAGCAGCTCCCTCTCACATCCTCCACACGAAATAAGCCGGTGGCAAGACGTTCCACGGCCGTCTCGCTGAGCTTCACCGCAGCCCCGCCGTCAGAGACCGGCCTTTTCGTCCCGGCAACAGAGTGTCCAACTTTTTCCCCAGAGATCCCCAGCAGACGATGCCCTGGGCCAACAAATCCCAGAGCTGATGGAAGAAAAGATTCAAAATGACGGTCTGCGGAGGGTGTGTGTAAAGATGACTCAAATGTTGAATAAAACATAATTCAATGACCAAAGTGTCTGTGTTTAGCCAGTCTGTAAGCTCATATGAACTCACAGCGGCTGCGCATACATCCTCCACAAAAACGAGCCGGTTGTCCTTAAATAAAGGGTTTTCAAATTCACCGTTGCTCCAGACATGACGAGACGCTCACAGAACACAACAGTGGTAAGCGAAACAACTCGTAGTCAACCCGAGCTGCACGATCTTCACCCAAGCGGTGTCAAACGCACACTCGCGCGACGCAAACAGCCTTCACCCAAACGGCGTTGTGTTGATGATGGTGCACACACAGCTCCCCGGCGTTCACCGGCTCACATCGGCATAAATGTGGGACCACAGGTCGGGTTGGTGGAGGACCTCGCTCTCAGTGAGAGCGACACGCGCCGCACCGAAACAAATGCGTGCCGCCGCAGCAGGGGCAGTTTTCACTCACCACTCCTCAGCGCTCAGCCGCCCACGTCAGCATCAGTGTGAGACAGCTGAATGAACCCAGTGACGAATCTCGCCCTAGCGAGAGCGGCGCGCATCCCACCAAAGGAAACGCATGCTCCCACAGGGCTCGCAGCCTTCACTCAAACGGCACGGCGTAGATGAAGTTGCGTTCACCGCTTCTCAGCACCCGTCCGCTCATGTCAGCAAAAATGCGGGATCGCAAAGCGAGCCCAGCGCAGGACCCCGCTCGCGGCAGGAGCGACACGTGTTTTTCACCGCAGTGGCGTCAAACACGCGGCTAAGCGGTGTCATCAGCTGTCACACGCTTCTCCTCAACACAAGGCGAACCCGCGGTCTGAACGCAGCACACAGGCGCGTTCAGAGCCTTTTCGAGAAGCCTCACCTTGGGTCTCATGCAACACATTCCCGTGACACATGACGACGGTCGAGGCGGTGGACTGGATGGCATCCGTACAAAACATGACGCATAATAAACTCACGTCCACTACATGAACATTACGTGGAGTGCCTAAAAACATGCTCGCCAGACAGATGGATGGCCAGGTTGTTAAGCTAGGGTTACACGTTGCAATTTTGCAACCCTACCCCCTCCGTTTGGAGGAATTTTAGAGACGGTCCTGTCATCACCAGACCAAATCTCATTCCTTAATGCAGAAGTGCAAGAACTTCTGGTAAAAGAGATATTCTCCAGAGTTCCCAACGGAGAGGAAAACACAGGGTTTTTACTCACGTTACTTCCTGTTTCCCAAACGGACCGGAGGGACAAGACCCATTTTGGATCTGTCAGTTTTCAACAAGGCGTTCATGGACAGACAGTTTCACATGTTGACAACCAGACAGCTGTTGGACAACATCCAGAGAAACGACTGGGTTGTTTCCATCGACCTGAAGATGCCTACTTTGCACATAATGATCATCCCAAAACACAGGACATTCTTGCGTTTCTCCTTTCAAGGGATGAATTATCAGTACAACAGGCTGCCGTTCGATTATTCCCTCGCGCCTCGTACGTTCTCAAAGTGTGTGGAGATGGCCCTGCAACCTTACACAGAACAGGGATGAGAGTTTTGTTTTACCTGGACAACCTGCGGCTGTTGTCACGCTCCAGACAGGAACAGCGATGTGGGCTCAGGTGCTGACATCACATCTGTTAAATCTGGGCTTCACCATAAATTGGAAGAAAAGCTCGATTCTCCCGGCCCACACGATCGTTTATCTGGGAGTGGAGCTAAACTCAACCACTATGAGGGCTCATTTATCACAAACGAAAATCGACACTCTAAAATACCAGCTCCGCCACGTAAGACCTGGCAAAGTGATAACAGCTGTTTTCTGCCATGAAGCTGTTAAGAACGATGTCATCAGCTCACACAGTGGTTCCGCTGGGTTTATTCCACATGAGACGCCTCCAGAGGTGGTTTGCGCGTATGTGTGTGGATCCAATAAAACAAGAGACGGATGATCATTGTTCCTCCCTCCGTGAGAGTAGACCTTAGACACAGGGAAACCCCCTGGTTCTGTTGGAGGGAGTCCCCGTCAGCAGACCCACGTCACACGTGTCAGTCTTCACAGACGCGTCGCTGTCAGGTTGGAGGGAGACAAGCCTATCTCAAGCTGTAGGGGCGCTGTGGCCTCATCACACATCAGCCCACATAAATGTTTGGAGTGTCTCACAATTCTGAACGTGATTCAACACTTTGCTCCTATGCTACAGAATCAACACGTTTTGATTCACACAGACAACAAGGTTACTGCTGCGTACATAAACCGGCAGGGTGGTGCGCGCTCATCCCAGATGTTACACATTGCGTAAAACTACTGTGTTGGACACAACAAAATCTGCTCTCCATCAGAGCAGTGTACAGTCCCAGTGTTCTGAACAAAGGGGCAGATGTGATGTCCAGGGGCGGCCCACGCCATGGGGACTGGACTCTCTATCCAGACCTGATGGCCCAGACATGGCAGAAATTTGGCAAGCAGCCGTGGACCTATTTGCGACACAAGAAAACGCTCAGTGTCAACTACGGTTTTCTCTGAGCCCGTGAGATGAACCACCGCTGGGGGTTGATGCGTTGCCCACAGCTCATGGCCCAAAAGGCTTCTTTACGCGTTTCCTCCACCTCCTTTGATATTACGGTTCTTGAACTGAGTTCAGGCGGAGGGATTGACAGCTCTCCTGGTGGCCCCCGAGCGCATGAACGCACCATGGTTTCCAGTCCTGCGGCGCCTGCTGTCGGGGCGCCCATGGAAACTGCCGTGGAGGGAGGATGCTCTCCTCCAGGCGGGAGGAGCGATCAGGAGTTACCCAGAAATAGGCCAGCACCTGTGGGTCTGGCCGCTGAGCGGTTCCGCTTAGAAGGGATGGGTCTCCCACAGGATGTAGTGTGCACAATTCAGGATTCATGTGCTGCATCTACCACAGCGCTGTACACATTAAAGTGGACAGTTTTTTCAGTGCTGGTGTACATAGAAAGGTGAAGAGGCCACCTCATGTCCACTAGGCGACGTGCTGTCCTTTCTGCAACAGCTGATGGACAGAAATTTGGCGTCCAACACGATTAATGTACGCTGCAGCCATCTCTTCCTGCCACGAAGGGTTCGGAGACAGAACAGCTTTTAATCATCCGCTGATGAAGCATTTTCTAAAAGGTGTATAAAGATGCAGGCCTGTTTTCACACCCACTTGCTCCACAGTGGGATTTAACGCTGGTCCTGCAAGCCCTGATCAAAGCTCCATTTGAGCCTCTGGATCAGGTCCCAATTAAATTCTTGTCTCTTAAAACAGCCCTGCTGCTGGCTTTAACATCCGCTAAGAGGGTGAGTGATTATCTGCCTTCTCTGTCGCTCCGTCATGTCTCAGAATTCAGGCTGATGGCAGCTCAGCTGATCTAAGACCAAATCCAGCTTTTATGCCTAAAACATTACGAGCTCTTTTAAATCAAGAGTAATATCGTTGGAGGGGTTTTCCCTTCCCCCCACAAATCAGAAGAAGCGTTTTTCCATCTTCTCTGTCCGGTGCGGGCGTTGACGTGTTACATAGCACGCACAGCTGCAATGCGTCAAATTTAACATTTGTTTGTGCATTATAGAGATGCATCTGCAGGTCGCCCGTTATCCACCCAGTGCTTGTCACACTGGCTGTGTGAGGCCTTTTCTGAAGCCTACAGAGCATCAGATTTAGAGCCTCCAGTCAACCTCAGGGCGCACTCGATCAGGGGTATTGCATCTTCGACTGCTTTGCATAATGGTATGACAATGCAGGATATTTGCACAGCGGCCACGTGGTTAACACCCTGCTTATTTATTCACTTTTATTTACGTGATGTGACGGCTCGTTCCATGACA